AATATAAAATTTTATTGAGATTTAGATATTTTTTTGCGAATTTTACTGTTTGGAATTTTTCGAAAAGTGCATTTTTGACGATTTTTTGACTTAATTAACTTTGAAATTTATGTTGAGTATTTGAATTATTACAAAAATTAACCTCAAAATTTTGAGATGTTTTTTTTTTCAAAATTTGAGAACACCAGGAAAAACATCTAAGCTTTCTCTTTCAAACGTCAAAAAAACGAATTCAAAATCTTAGAAAATGGCAGAATTACCGATTTTTAAATTTCTGAAAAACTCCAAATATTTCAAAAACGGCTAAATTTAGGTATAGGGAAAGCTGATGAAAACTTGCTTAAAATAACTTGATTAATCCAAAAACGCAGTAAAAAATATACCTTTTCATTAAAAATAAGAAAGTTGAGACTGACTTCCGGTATAACCGGAAGTGTCGCCATTTTGAAAATATTTCCATTTGGGAGGATTTAATGGTTTATGGCTATGTACCAATTTTCAAATAAATACAATTATTCTAACTCCCAATACTTCTAATGTGGTGTTTAGATGGAACACCCTGTATAGTCGGTGAAATTGACCCGATTTTCGCCTATTTTCCCAGGAATTGGTGATCGAAAAGGGCGAAAATGAGAAATTGGGTATGCACATAAAGGGTGGTCTCCAGGGCCTCCGTGGCAACCCTTTGGACATGTCCGACGAGGGTGTTTTCGTATCGAAGATAAATTCCGCTGGAGCGGCGCGTCGCGACGGCCGATTACGCACCGGAATGCGCCTCATCGAAGTCAACGGAAAGTCACTTTTAGGTGCCACCCATCAAGAGGCCGTTAATACATTACGTGCGTGCGGAAATATCATAAAACTCGTCGTATGTAAAGGTTATGATAAGTCCGAGGTGGACAAGGCGATAGCCGAGGGTAAACTCACACGTGGCGGTTCGGTGAGCAGTCGGTCGCAAAGCGTCAGTTCATTGGATGTGCCCGACGAGGATGTCCAACACGAACAGAATATCAAATCGGAACTTGTTCAATTCGAAAAAGAAGATGCTGAAAAACGGTTAAAATTGAATGAAAATTCCGACGATGAGTTGCATTTAGTCGAGGCGAAAGGTGTGATAACGCCAGCTGATAAGGTTTTGGATGTGGTGAGAGCGGTGGAGACGTTGGCACATTCACCAGCTGAGAATTCAGTTGCGCCGAAATCACCTGGTGGACCGAATTCGGAATTGAAGACGACGACGATTGTTATGAGTAAACATACACTTGCACCGCAGGCGACGACGGTGAGTTTTGGGGTTTTTGTGGGGTTTGGCCGTTGTGTTTTGTCTGCTTTTGTGGTCGTTTGCTGTGTTTAGAAGTGCTTTACTTAGGTTTTGAGTTGTTGGACACCTGTATATGTATATACAGGGTGTCTCAACGGTCCGAAAAAGCTCTATAACTTGTTTATTTTAAGAGATATTGACTTTTTCTTTTTTTTAGATTATATCTGTGTTTTTGGTGCACATTTTAAAGATGTTGCAGTCTATATACAGGCTGTCCCAATATTAAAAAAACACTAAAGTTATGTTTTTTTAAATGGAATCTACTCAGTTTGATTTTATTTTTGGATTCTACGCTAAATTACAAATAACTTTTATAGAGGTTGTTTTCATTTATCTGTTATCAATTTTGATTTGTGGCGCTTTTTTACCAGAATTTTTGAAATGCAGGGGTCTGTTTAAAAATTCGTATTTTCTAAATGCTTGCACACAAATTAAAGTAAGTAACACCATTTGATTCCTGAATGTTTGCCGCATCTTTTAAGTGTTTATTCAACAACCTGCTCAGTGGCATGCGCCTACTACGATTTTTTAAACATGACAAATTAAAAATGTCAAAAACTCATTTTTTTCAAATGGCACCCTCTATTTATTATTGTACCAATGAAAAGATCTTTTGACAAGCTTTCCATCAATATAGGGTTTGTATAGTCTAGTGTAAAATTCTAAGTTGCTATCCTAAATTAACTAAATTTCAAAAAACTTTTCTGTTTTGGTCAATAAAAATCGAGTGGGCTTCTGTCATTGTTACAATTTATCAATTTTATTGTGAAGATTATAAGTCCCAAAATGAATTTTACTCGTCAAGAATTCATTAACATGGTATACAGTCTTGGTGAAGCGGATCGTAATATTTTATTGGCTCAAAGACTCTACAAATAAAAATACCCAAATGCAAGACTGCCGCAAAGTGTTGCATTTAAAAAATTATATAAAAATGTATATAAATTTAGACCAACAACTGCGGAGGATATGTAACAAAGAATAGGCGATACATTCCATTTAATAAATGCAGATATGCTAAGTCGTGTTAGACTATCTTTTAGTCGAAGACTGCATACTTGTATTGAAAAAAATGGTAATATTTTTGAACATCTGTTATAAAGAAAATTGTAAAATAGCTTTAATGTTTTGTTTTTTTTTGGTTTGTTAATGTTTTTACATTTTTCTACTAAATTACTGCTTTGCGATATGTTAGATTTTGCGTAATTTTCTCTGTAACTCAATTTTGCTCAATATTTTACATTTTCTTCCAGCAAAGAATTTCCAATTCCATACTTTTGTTTATTTTCTGTGCTATTTTTTTTTGCATAAGGCCCACTCGATTTTTATTGTTCAAAACAGAAAAATTTGACAAAATTTAGTTAACTTAGTATAGCAACCTAGAATTTTACACTAGACTATACAAACCTTATATTGATAGAAAGCTTGTCAAAAGATCTATTCATTGGTACAATAATAAATAAAGGGTGCCATTTGAAAAAAATGAGTTTTTGACATTTTTTATTTGTCATGTTTAAAAAATCGTAGTAGGCGCATGCCACTGAGCAGGTTGTTGAATAAACACTTAAAAGATGCGGCAAACATTCAGGAATCAAATGGTTTTACTTACTTTAACTTGTGTGCAAGCATTTAGAAAATACGAATTTTTAGACAGACCCCTGCATTTAAAAAATTCTGGTGAAAAAACGCCACAAATCAAAATTGATAACAGATAAATGAAAACAACCTATATAAAAGTTATTTGTAATTTAGCGTAGAATCCAAAAATAAAATCAAACTGAGTAGATTCCATTTAAAAAAACATAACTTTAGTGTTTTTTTAATATTGGGACACCCTGTATAAAAACCGTAATATTTTTAAAATGTGCATCAAAAACGCAGCTATAATCTAAAAAAAAGAAAAAGTCAATATCTCTTAAAATAAACAAGTTATAGAGCTTTTTCGGACCGTTGGGACAGCCTGTATACAGGGTGTTCCGTTTTTATTGTTACAAATTTAAACAGATGATAGGATATTCAATTCTAAGACAAAAGTTTCTTATGAACATGTATCGAAAAATGCTTGGTAAGGGAGCTACACCCCCTGAAAGGGGGCTAATAGGTTTGTTCGGACTTTTTCGCAAATATGTATTTTAAGTAGAATTTTGATTTTTCGGGATTTGTACGGTTCGCAAATTTTTCGGTACTTTTCAAATTGACGTTTCTGATACTCTGAGGGCTTTCAAAAGTATAAATTCTAATTTTTTGTCAGTTTTACGTTTCGGCTCTTTTTGATAACTATTTAAACTCGTATTTTTGATATTTTTGGGCCTATACAAATTTAAATTCTCTTTTTATTTTTTGAAATTGACATTTCTGAAACTTTTTGCGTTTGGATAAGTAGGTATCAATTTTTATTTTATCAGAATTTTTACGTTTTTTTTGCTAGTTTTATCTTTTGGACCTTTTTCGTAACCACTTAAATTAACATTTTTGATATTCACTCCGAAAAAAGTGTAAATCTTTTTTTGATATTTGGAACTTTTCGGAATCGGACATTTAGTCGATTTTTGGTAAAAATATTAAATATAATTGAGATGCGAACACTTTTTTGCGAATTTACTTTTCGAACCTTAAAAAAACTTCTTAAATTTGCATTTTTGACATTTTTTTGTTTAAAGAAGTCTAACTTCTTTTTTTGTTGCTATTGCTAAATTCGAACCCTATTTCTGCGGAGTATATAATGCGAGTTTTTTTTTTTGAAATTGCATTTTTGATCATTTTTGGGCCTGAAAAAGTAAAATTTCTCATTTTATTGGGACTTTTACGATTCGGAACTTTTTATTATTGGACATTTAACCGATTTTTGGTAAAAATATAATACTTTATTGAGATTTAGATGCTTTTTTACGAATTTTGCTGTTTGGAATTTTTTGAAAATCGCATTTTTGACGATTTTTGGACTTTGAGAAGCATAAATTTTTATTTTATTGCGAATTTTATTATTCGAAACTTTTCAATAATTTTGAAATTGACGTTTCTGAAACTTTTTGCGCTAGGAAAACAATTTTTTATTTTCACATTTTTTTCTTACTACTTAATTCACTTAAATTTGCATTTTTGGGTTTATATAAATTTAAATTTATCTTTAAATGCGATTTTTTGGTATTGGGAACTTTTCGAAATCGGAGATTTAACCGATTTTTTTTTATATAAATATGAATTTTGTGAATTTCTGACATTTTTAGTCTCGGAAAAGCACAAATATTGAGTAGAATTTTGATATTTTGTTATTTATCAGTAAAGTTTGATCAAATATAATGAGTTGCGAACGTTTTTTTCGGGATTTGTACGGTTCGCAAATTTTTCGGTACTTTTCAAATTAACGTTTTTAATACTCTGAGAACTTTCAAAAGTATAAATTTATTATTTTTTGTCAGTTTTACATTTTGGCCTTTTTTGATAACCATTTAAATTCGCATTTTTGACATTTTTAGGCCTATACAAGTTTAAATTCTTTTTTTCGGATTTTTGGTTCAAATATGACATGTTATTTATTAATAGATTATATTTTTACGAATTTTACAGTTCGGAGATTTATAAAAATTGCATTTTTGGCGGTTTTTGTAGCGATTTTAATTATTCGCAACTTTTGAAATTGACATTTCTGATACTTTTTGCGCTTGGATAAGCATAAATTTTTATTTTATCACAATTTTTACGTACGTTTTTTTTTACTAGTTTTATCTTTTGGATCTTTTTCGTAACTACTTAAATTGGAATTTTTGATATTTACTTGGAAACGATCTGAATCTTCTTTTTTTAAGGTTTTGGACTTTTCGGAATCGGACATTTAGTCGATTTTTGGTAAAAATATTAAATATAATTGAGATGCAAACACTTTTTTGCGAATTTACTTTTCGAACTTTTGTCGGAACTTTTTAATTTGCATTTTTAACATTTTTATGTTTAAATAAGTGTATTTTTTTATTGCTATTCTCAAATTCGAGGTTTTTTTTGAAATATTTCAAATTTGCTTTTTTGATCATCTTTGGGCCTGAAAAAGTATAATCTCTCATTTTATTGCGATTTTTGCGATCCGAAACTTTTTATTATTGGACATTTAATCAATTTTTGGTAAAAATATAAAATTTTATTGAAATTTAGAAATTTTTTTGCGAATTTTGCTGTTTGGAATTTTTCGAAAATTTTATTATTGACGATTTTTGGACTTAATATCTTTGAAATTTACCTTTCTGAACGCTTTTTTACTACTTAGTTCATTAAATTCGCATTTTCGAGTTTATGTAAGTTTAAAAAAAATTTTAATGCGAATAAGAGTTATTTTTACGAATTTTGCAGTTCGGAATTTTCAAAAATTACATTTCTGGCGGTTTTTGGGATTCCTGAAACTTTTTGCGCTTGGATAAGTATAAATTTTTATTTTATCACAATTTTTTTGCTAGTTTTACTTTTTGGACCTTTTTCGTAACCACTTAAAATAACATTTTTCAGCCAAAAAAAAGCTTAAATCGTCCTTTTTGCGATTTGGAACTTCTCGGAATCGGGGATTTAGTTGATTTTTAGTAAAAATATAAAATATAATTGAGATGCGAACAGTTTTTTAAACTTTTAGGGCCTGGAGAAGTCTAAATTCTTATTTTATCCAGATTCGGACGCTTTCTTTGCGAATTTACGAACCTTTTTCGGAACTTTTTAAATTCGCATTTTTGACATTTTTATGTTTTAAAAAGTCTAAATTCTTTTTTTAATATCATTGTTAAATTCGAAATATACAATGCGAGTTTTTTTGAAACCGTTTAAATTTGTATTTTTTTCAACTCGAACTTTTTTCGAAATACCTCAAATTTATAATTTTTGGCCTTGAAAAAGTATAAATTCTCATTGTATTGCGATTTTTACGCTTCGGAACTTCTTATTATTTTTTGGATTTCGACAAACAAATTTTTATTTTATTGCGATTTTCATTATTCGAAACTTTTCAATAATTTTGACATTCACGTTTCTGAAACTTTTTGCGCTTGGAAAACATTTTTCTTATTTTATCACATTTTTTTTACTACTTCATTCACTTAAATTGGTATTTTTGGGTTTATATAAGTTTAAATTCTTTTTTTAATGCGATTTTTTGATGTTGGGAACTCGGAATCGGAGATTTTAACCCATTTTTTTTTAAAAATATGAAATGAGTGAATTTTACAGTTGGAAACTTTGCGAAAATTGCATTTCTGACACTTTTTGGTCCCAGAAAAGCATAAATTCTCATTTTATTGCAGTTTTAACGATTGAAATTTTTTTTCGATTCGGAACTTTTTTCAATCGGACATTTAACCGATTTTTCGTTAAAATATGAAATATTATTGAGATTTGGACGCTTTTTTGTCTATTATTCACTTCGGAACTTTTCAAAAATTGCATTTCTGACATTTTTTGAGTCTGGAAAAGCTTAAATTTCCTTATTGTAGCAATTTTAGCGATTCGCACTTCGAAATTTCCATTTCGACAAAAACCATAAATTTTTTATGGCGATTTTTTTATTCGGAACATTACTAGAATTTGATTTTTTGATAAGTTTTGGACTTGGAAAAGCATATATTTTTATTTTATTGCGATTTTTCCGATTCGCAACTTATTAATTCGCGTTGTTTGCATCATTAGAAGGCTGAAGCATGTGTTTTCGATGTTCGAGCATGATGCATGTTAAGAAAAATCAATTTTATTTTTATCGAATTGTATTTTTGATTCCAGAATCCGAAAAGGACACCATAACAAACACTCACGAATGAGATATTACTGTAACACACAGTACGTAAAAATAGTACATGTAAGAAAGCGAATTTTGAATAAAATTCAATTTCTTTTTGTCGAAATTGTTAAACGTGGTGCTCATGTAATAATAATAACTAGCGAATAATAAGCGAATTTAACAATAACACAATTTGGTCTATGTGTTCATCGCTTATGTTATGTATTGTGAATCATATCAAAATAATTATGTACCAAATGAATGTCTCAATCGACACTTTTTTGTTCAAAAAAAAAAACAGTATTTGAAATAATAAATAAATTGAGTTTCTCAACTGATTTATTTAAATTCAAATCGTGTTCGTTGTGAAAATGCCTTATTAAAAAAAAATCTTTGTTTCAGTGTCAAAACATTTGAATTTAAATAATTCTCAATGTGGAAATTTTATATTTTTCTAATATACGTCAAAAATCCAGTCGACTGGATTTTCTAAATTTCGTGCCATATTAGGGGGCCATGACTTTACGTTCACATTCCCGCCAACTAGATTCATTTAATGAACATTTTCAGGCCCTCAATTCTAACCTCAAACTTGTGTTGTTTTATTGTTGATTGTCCAACCAGTAGTCGCATAGATTTTTATATTGTTGTTATAACTCGGTATTGTCTATTAAACGCATAAAAAATATTTATTAATGTGATTTTCAATGGCAAATATATTTTTCATATGACGAGTGTGCTTTTGTTTTCCTGTTGGCTCCGCCTTTTGCCACCCCCCCTAACCACGAGTTTAATCTGACAGGACAAATCGAAAACCGGCAAATCGTACCCTAAACCCGCCCCGACTCCTCCCACCACGCCCACATCCCATCATTCCAGTATCGAGAATCTCGTAATCCCGCCCCCTGATGGCTACTCCGAGGACGAGACTCCGCCCGAATTGCCCAAAACGCCGAAACCGTCGCTCGAATTGATGAAAAGTAGCCAATCGCTTGATTTGGTGTTCGAGGGCGGGGCTAAGCCGGAACCGCCTCCGCGACCACAATCACTGATTATTGGCAATAAGCATGTGCGGTTTTCGACCAATCAGGTAATTTGATTCGATGACACGCCCACAAACAAACAAAACACTTCGGTTTATGGCTTTTTTTGTTTTTATTATTATTATTATAATTTTTTTTTTAATAGCCGCCACAATCACCAAAAAAATCGACGGTTAGTGATAAGAAAAAATTCTTTGAGACTGCAATGGAGGAAAGTCAAAAGCCTCCACCAAAACAAGGTATTTGACACAAATTTGTCAAAAATTTGACACTAATTGTCAAAAATTTCAGAAAAATTTTTCAGTTATTTAAGCACCGACGAACTGGAAAAACTCAAAGCCGAAGAAGAACGAAAAATCGCGAGTCTTTCCCCCGAAATCAACCTTCTCGATCATTCCGATGCTGAATCGTTCGATTCGCAACACACAAGGTGACTTATTGACAATTCGCAAATTGTCAAAAATTATTTTGACAGTTGATTTTTGACAGTGTGTCACATCAGAGCAATGTCAGTGTTGTGCGTACAGCCAAGGCCGAACGTCGTCTCAAGGACAAATTGCGTGAAGAAGGTCTTTTGACAGATGAAGATGAGTCACATCTGTCACCGGCCGAAGAAAGGGCCTTAAGGGCGGAAAAAAGGGCCGCTTGGAGGGCCGCACGTCTCAAATCGCTCGAACAGGACGCGATTCAGGCCCAAATGGTCATCAAATCAATGACGGATATGGTGGGGGCCGGGGAAGTACCGCCGTCGGAGAAAGAGGAGGTAAGGGATGATAGGGTCACGTGGTGTGTGTTTTGAGGCTTTGTGTCACTTTTTGAGACGTTTTCCCGGTTTGAAATGTCATTTTGGAGAGAGATTTTGGTGCTTTCAGGGGTGGAATTACAGAAACCTGTAATTTTTTTTGAAGTTTAGACGAGGTTTTTTGATTTTTTTAGACATTTTTGTGCACAAATAGGATAAGTGAAAATGACATTTGAGGACTTTTAAGGGGGGAAATTACAGAAACCTGTATTTTTTTTAGTTTGGACTAAAAATTTTGTGGATTTTTTAGGTGCAAAATGTACGTTTTTTAGGTTAAGTCAAGAAATTACATTAGAACATGACTCATTTTAATATTTTTCTTTATAAAAAAGAACAACAATATTACAAAAATTACAAAGAAATAAAAGTAAAACGATGAAAAAAATGTTTTGTTCCGATTTTTGGCTTTTATTTGAAAATTTTACAGAAATCTGTAATTTTTTGTAGAATTGACTAGATTTTTTTGTATTTTTTTACATTTTGGGGCTTAAATAACATGTTTTTGTGTTAGGTCAATAAGTGAGATTAGAAAACGCAATTAGTTTAAAGTTTTTTTTTTAAGAAAAAGAAAAATATTAGACATTTAAGAACACGAATTACAGAAACCTGTAATTTTTATGTAGTATGGACTAGATTTTTTGGATTTTTTTCATATATTTTCGTGCATAAATGATGTTTATCGTGTTTAGTGAATAAATGACATTAGAAAATGCAAGTTTTTTTTTGTTAAAAAACCGAGATTTCTAGTTTTTAAGGGGAGGAATTACAGAAACCTGTAATTTTTTTAGTTTGCACTAGATTTTTTTGTATTTTTTACGCATCTTCGGGCGCAAATTGTACGTTTTTCAGGTTCAGTCAATAAATGACGTTGAACATGAGTCATTTTAATTTTTTTTTGTTTATAAAAAAGAACAAAAATATTACAAAAAATACAAAGAAATAAAAGTAAAACGGTGAAAAACATTTTTTTAATTAAAAACGAGTTCCGATTTTTGGCTTTTATTCAAAAATTTTACAGAAATGTGTAAAGCCGCTTTATTCTTATTATTATTTTTTTATATATTTTGGGACTTTAATATATTTTTTTGTGTGTTCAGTCAATAAGTGACATTGGAAATCGCAATTAGTTTAAAGTTTTTCTTAAAACAAAAAGAAAAATATTGGTCTTTTAGGAAGATAATTACAGAAACCTGTAATTTTTTTGTAATATGGACTAGATTTTTTGTATTTTTTCATATGTTTTGGCACACAAATGATATGTTTTTTTTGTGTTTAGTCAATAAATGACATTAGAACATGACTTATTTTATAGTTTTTTGTTTCAAAAAGAACAAAAAAAATTCAAAGAATAAAAGCAAAACGGCGAAAAACATTTGTTTACCTAAAAATAAGTTTTGATTTTTGTCTTTTATTCGAAAATTTTACAGAAATTTTTTGTTGAACTGACTGGATTTTTTGTGTTTTTTATACATTTTTAGGGTTAAATAATGTTTTTTGTGTTCAGTCAATAAGTGATATTGGAAAACGCAATTAGTTTTTTTAAGAAAAAGAGAAGTATTGGACTTTTACCAAGAGGAATTACAGAAACCTGTAATTTTTTTGTATTGTGGACTACATTTTTTGTATTTTTACACATTTGGGACGCAAATGATACGTTTTTCAGCTTAAGTCAATAAATGACATTGGAAAATTATTTGTTTTTG